CGCCCGCGGCCCTGCCCCGCTCCTCCCACCGCCCCAGCTCCGCCCCCAGCCTGAGAAACGCAGCACCTCAGGGACTGCAATGGGCCTTAGAGCTCATCCAGCCCCAACCCCTGCCCTGGGCAGGGACACCTCCCACCAGAGCAGGTTGCTCAAGGCTCATCCAACATGGCTCGGGCAGCCACAGCCTCCCTGGGCAACCTGGGACAGTGTCTCACCACCCTCACAGGAAAAAACCTTTTCCTAATACCTAACCTAAATTTCCCCTCTTTCAATTTGTACGCATTGTTCCTTGTCCTGTCACTGCAGCTCCAGAGTCCCTCTCCAGCTGCCCTATAGGACCCCTCAGATACTGGAAGGTCGCTCTGAGGTCTCCACACATCCTTCTCCAGGCTGAACAGCCCCAGCTTCCTCATCCTGTATCCATAGAGATGTTTCAGTTCTCTTATCAATTTCATGGCCTCCTCTGGACTTGCTCCAACAATTTCATGTCCCTCTTGCATTGAGGGCACCAGAACTGCATGCAGTATTCCAGGTGGGGTCTCAGGAGAGCAGAGGAGAAGGGGAGAATCACCTCCTTTGACCTGCTGGCCACCTCCTGACCACCTCCCGCTCCTTCTAATCCCAGCCCAGCTCTCTGCAGCGGGTTTAGGTGGCATCTCCCATGGGCATGGCAGGTGGAGCTGATCCTGCCTGGGGCAGGGAACATGTGGAGAGCATGGGGAGGGGTCTGGAGCACAAGTCTGATGAGGAGCAGTAGAGGGAGCTGCAGAAGCCTCAGCCTGGAGAAAAGGAGGTTCAGGCAAGACCTTATTGCTCTCTCCAACTGCCTGAAAGGAGTTTGTAGCCAGGTAGGGATCAGACTCTTCTCCCTTGTAACAAATGACAGGACAGAAAGAAACAGCCTCAAGCTGCACCAAGGCAGGTTTAGATTAGATATTAGGGGAAATGCCTTCACTTAAATGGTGGTCAGACACTAGAATAGGCTGCTCAGGGCAGTGGTGGAGTCACCATCCTTGGAGGCATTTAACTGACATGTGGATGTGGCACTTGGTGAAATGATTTAGTAGTCAGCTTGACAGTACTGGGTGAACAGTTGGGCATGATGACCCTAATGGTCTCATAGACCCTCTATGAGTCTATGACAGTGGCCCATTGTTGCTCGTAGTCTCTAGATGTCAGACCCAGGAGATGCAGCACAGGGCAAGGTGACTCCCTCCCAGGAACTCCCTGTCCAGGGGAGGCTCATGGAATGAAGGAACCCATCAGTGCTGCTGGGATGGTGGCAAGCTGTTCCTCGCAGCTCAAGAGAGGCCATGGCCAGCCTGTCAGCCCTAGCCAGGCAGTGAGGAGCTGGCCCTACTGGTGCTCCCAGATCTGCCTGGGGCTACACATGCTGGTAACTGTGTAGTTGGTAAGTGGTAACAGCCTGCAGGCACCTGTAATCAGAAGGAGGAATGTTCCCAGCCCCATGGGGAAATGTGGGCTGACTCCAGCTCAACTCCAGCATGGTTGCAAGACACCGTGGCCATCTCTTACATGTGGGTGGATTCAGCTCCGCTCACCCAGAGTCATCACCAGCAATGTGCACGTCCTTGGAAAGGAACCAGTGCTGCTAAGATAAACATAGTGCAGCAAAGAGGATTGATTCAGGGACCAGAAATTTAAGGGATTTGCACTTTACTTAGCAACTCAATGATACCTTCCTTGGTGAGGAACAAAACCTCACCAGCATTCTGATGCCAAACCTCAAACACTGGGGGGTCCTCAAAGACCCTCTTCCCAGCTATGACCACATAGGGATAACCCAATTTGTTGGCATCCTTCAGCCTTTTGCCAATGGTCAGCTGTGTCCTGTCATCTAGCACTGAGTCACCAGCAAGGTGGGGCAGTGCCTCGACCAGGTCGTCATACACCTGCTCCAGCCGCATGGCTCCCTCCTCCTCCTCCTTGCTGCCGCTCTTGGGGGGGATGAAGCAGAGCTGGTAGGGAGCGATGAGGCTCGGCCAACGGATGCTGTCCTCTGTAGATAGCACCTCGATGGAGGCCGCCAGGATGCGAGTAACACCCAGGCCATAGCAACCCATTTCTGCCAGCTGGAGTTTGTTCTCAGGGGAGCAGAAGACAGCGTTGGAGACGGAGGAGTATTTGGTGCCTAGATAAAATGTGTGCCCCACTTCAATCCCTTTGGTCTCAGTGAGTTTCTCCCCACACGTGGGGCAAGAGGTTTGCTCCCTGTTTAATGTTTCCACGTTGGCCGCAAAATGTCCCTCAGGGCACAGCATCAGCCTGTCCTCGCCGATGTCTGCTGGGAGCTGGAATTCATGGGACATGGTGCCGCCGATGCTGCCCGTGGCTGCCTGCACTTTGACAAAGGGAAGGCCCAAGCGGCTGAAGAAGCTGCAGTAGGCATCACACACCTGTTCATAGGTCTGCTGAGCTGCCTCTTCAGAGGTGTCAAAGGTGTACATGTCCTTCATGTAGAACTCCCGGCTGCGCAGCAAGCCAAAACGTGGCTTGGGCTCATCCCGAAACTTCCTGGTTACCTGGTAGAGGCGCAGCGGGAGCTGCTTGTAGGACAGGTGGCTCTGAGAGGCCACCAGCTCCGTCACCACCTCCTCATGTGTGGGGCCCAGGCAGTAGCTGTGGTTGTGCCGATCCACCAGCCGGAAGAGCTCCGGCCCCATCTGGTCCCAGCGGCCGCTAGCGCGCCACAGCTCTGCCGAGCACAGGCTGTGCATGCTGAGCTTCTGCCCACCCACAGCCTGCATCTCCTCATCCATCACCCTGATGAGCTTCTCCATGGCGCGCACGGTGGGCGGCAGGTAGCAGTAGCAGCCGGGGCTGGCGGGGCGGATGAGCCCCCCTTGCAGCATCAGCCGCTGGCTGCGGCAGGGGGGGCCTCCCCGGCCGTCGTCCC